TTAGATATCAGTGGAACAGTCATAGAACAGCTAAAAATTAGCTAATTATCATGCAAATTAGGTAATTAACGAGCATGGATTTTTACCAAAACCTAATCAAATCTGCGCATTGGCCCAGAGCATCTATGCACCAAGTTTCATCAAAAACCGATGTATGGTTCTTGAGATAGCAGTGGAACAGTCGGACACACATACACACATACACACACATACACACATACAGACACACTAACTGCAAAGACTCCCATTTTGTGCTTCGCACATGGTAGTCAAAAAAGAACTGCAGTCAAAAGTCAAGAATGCCAGCAAATAAAGGACTCTGTCCCACAATCCTTTGCGTGCGTTATTACGGACACGCGCAAAAAACTGTACCACGCTTGTCAAATCTGGGTCAAATATAAGTACGCTGCTATCTTGCCACAGATTGTTTAGTAGTGGAGTGTTCGGTGACCATTGAATTAGCCCGTGATTCATATTTTATGTGTATTAATTTATTCATCAATTTTCGTAACTGACAGTACTGCCCAAATTTTAGTCAAAAAAAACGCAACTGGTGAAACGGAAGAGCATCGCCTGGCGATGGACGCAGGGCTCTTTGGCAACGACCGCATAGAGGTCAAAATACGCGTTCTATTTTTACGCGTTAAATTTGGCTCTTCCGTTTCGCCCCCACCGGAATGTTCTACTTTCGCAGCCTAATCGCAGGTTTTTCGAAAAACGTCGAAAAAACACAAGAATTAGTAGAAATGTGTCTGTTTTGGGCGGATTATTGATAGAGAATAATGTCTTTATTACAAAAATGCTGAAAAACCGTGAGTTGTTGCCTTAGTTATTTTTTTATTGGCGAAAAACTGCGAACTCGGCAAATTTGGTTGCACAACTTCCCTTTATCATATACACCCAGCGACACCGATGCCAGCTGACTGTGTACAAAACTGGTAGGAGGTAATACATTTGGGGCGAAAGTATTCAAAAATCAGTCTTTGGATGTTGCAATGGCAGTGGTGGGCCAGGATTTTTTCCCAATTAGTGACGGCACGACCTACCTGTGAAGTATGAACAAAACCAGCGGAGCCGTTGCTGGTGAAAAGTTAAATTTCTCGGTAATGAAAACAGATATCAAAAATTAAAATAGTAACTTTGTGCCCACACTCAAGCTGAGTAGAATGAGCTATGTCTGAAGTGTTTTATCCCAAATTTGTAGGAGGAGATACATTTGGCGCGAAGCTATCCAAAAATCAGTTTTTTTGCTGTTGCTATGGCAATGGTGGGCCAAACATTTTTTTCAGATTTTTCCTTATAACTAGGGTTAAGGTGTGACCTACCTGCCAAGTTTGAAAGAAATCGGCCAAGCCAAAAAAATCACAGAAGAAATCATAAGTGAAAACACTGGAAATGTACACACACAGACACACAAAACGACAAAAGTGATTATAAGGGCAATCCTAGCGGAGCGGATCGCAAACAAAAGTGATTATAAGGGCAATCCTAGCGGAGCGGATCGCCAACAAAAGTGATTATAAGGGCAATCCTAGCGGAGCGGATCGCCAACAAAAGTGATTATAAGGGCAATCCTAGCGGAGCGGATCGCCAACAAAAGTGATTATAAGGGCAATCCTAGCGGAGCAGATCGCCAACAAACCTACAAAAGTGACTATAAAGGCAATCCTAGCGGAGCGGAACCACAAAAAGTGATTTTAAAGGAAATCCTAGCTGAGCGGGTCGCCAATATGTTATTTACAGTACTAACAAATTCCCACTTCCGGTCCGATTAGAATTAAAATACACCACGAATATTCACCTTTGAGATTTTTGGAATGTGTTGGTTCTTGGATACTTCAGCTTCGTCGTTCTGTACTTCATTTAGTAATTCGAACTTCCCAGATTGTGTCAAATCAGAGAGTTTCTTGGTTTCGATATCGAAACCGCCATGGCTTAATTATTTGCTGGGGCGGCCGCTTAGATACGTGCTCTGCAACTTGCAGCGCATGAACCTAAACATGTTAGGTAATCAAATTCAGGGGAAGTTGACAATCCATAATACTGCTAAATCACCAGTTGTGAACTTTATCAGGATTCCCGTATGGAGTTACACATCATTCTAGCAAGGAAAAATATTGATTTACTGTTGTGCAGGTTATATAATAAAATATGAAATAATCAATATTTCATTTTTGTTAGTATATCTTTATTTATTAAAATATGTGCACATTATATCTAATTGGGGTGGGTTTCGCCAAGCAAGTTTATAAAATTATAAACAAATATTTTCGTAAATAACACTGACCACGAAATACGCCTTTGAGAAGTATTACTGAATACTTTATATTGCAATTTCTTTCAATTTGAATTAGTTGTATTGCAATGCATTAGTAATAATAATAATACGCAAAATTACGGCACGCTGTAACGTATGGCGTTATTATTATTATTATTATTATTATTATTATTATTATTATTATTATTATTATTATTATTTTTATTTATATCAGTACAGTAGCAATAACAGTATACCGGTAATAAATAAGTATAACTAATGTAAATATATACATTCCTTTATTTCATTGTTGAGACTGAGTTATACAGTTTGTTACGTGCTACAATTTATCTATATTGGAAAACGGTTATGGGGATTATTAATTTCAATAAACTATATTCAACTATCCTTTGCAACACCAATAAGATCATAATGGTAATGTTTATTGGTCTTTGAAACTAGAAGCATTATCAGAGCATGGGTCTTATTTTGGAACTCCTGCTAGGAGGGTATTCCCAGAATAGTGCCAGTTGTTAAAGAAACATAAAACTTTAATTCTCAACAAGGATGAAAGGACCAGTCACAGAGACAAAGCCCTACTCCACGCGAAACCCTACAGACACGAAACCCAATTACCGCGAAAGCCACTCACCGCGAAGCTACTAGTAAAATCAGTAAAATGTACCGAAGAAGTAATCGTTGTTAAAACCATTAAATTTAAATCGGGTACCAGCGAGATCGATTTATCTTTTTTCACACCAGAGTCGCGGCAGTCAAAATTATACATTCTTCATTTTCGTCGCGTATTTTGCCTCTGTTTTTTCAGACGTTACTATTGTAAATAACATATGTTATGAAACATAATATAATGTGTTTGTGGATTTGACATAACAGGAACTATTATTAAAAGTCGCATTTTTTTCTGTTTTATTTTTTGGATAATATTCAGAAAAGGTGTTCACATTTACTTAATGTTATATTGGCAGCGTCATCGTAGACTTGCGTCATTTGGCCCTCTTCACCCCCATGACTAACGAAAGTAAATACGTATAATAGCCAAATAGTTCGTTGATCGTCAGTGTCAAGTCATGCACACCTACTATTGTTTATTTCATTCTTACATAGCGTGACAGTTTATAGAAGTGTTTGTTTGACAATGGTTTGACCTCTAAACATGTTAACAATAACACTAGCAAAATGGGCGACCTCCCTATTTGCATTTGTAATAAATACTAGTGACCTCAGGTAAGTAATAAAAAATACCATAACTCAATTGAACATGTACACGATTATAGTTGACAGACGTCACGAGTTGAAGAAACGTCCACTAGGCTGGGGGATCCGATTATAAAAGAGTCGATTCGTTTATATACTGGCAGTTCGGAAACTGGTTGATATGTGTTGGTGAAAACAGCGAATGGGGCGAGCCATCCACGAAACAAACCACAGTAGAATTCGACTTGTGAATTCACGCACATAGTGACGTAGTCGGGACTTTCAACAAGACCCAAAATACATTTTAGTAGGACGGAGCTGAGCAACAGCGGAGAGAACAACGCAGTTTGTTATCGGTATTTGGTTTGTTTGCTCATATATAGTATACGCAGGTATGGAAACCCTTGACAATAAGGAGCAGCTTGGGCTCGGCGTGGGTCCTGTGCCAGTGACTGACAACTACATTATGAACAACTCGCCAGTGTGTGTATCGCAGTGTAGCGTTGAAAATGCTCCAACAACTTTAGTGAAAGGTACAGTGGAGTCTATATTTATGCAGGTCAGAGACGCGTCCGGTGATCGAATCAGATCGCCCCAGGAGATAAAGGCGAGGATAAGGAAACCGGATACAGCTTGGGTAGAAATTGAAGTGGAGGAAAAAAACGACAAGACGTTTATAAACGTGCTTGGGTGTATTGAGGGCGTACATCAAGGAGAAATCACTGTCGCCGGTCAGCATTTTCCTGGTTCGCCCTTCGAGTTTAGTGTCGTGCGGGGAATGGTGAGAACATTCGGTGCTCCGGGAAGAGGGGAAGGACAGTTCCGTTACCCATGGGGCATTACTGTTGATAGGAACGGTGACGTCATAACAGCGGATCGGTACAATGACCGGCTACAGATCCTAGATAAAAACGGCAACTGTAAAAAGTTAATAACGTTTTCGCAGTTTCAGCATCCGTTTAAACCTGGTGACATTACAATATCTGACGATAATCATTACTTCAGCTTAGATTATATAAATAAACAAGTTGTTGTTAGTGACGATGAGGGGACCTTTATAAGAAGCTTCGGAAAAGAAGAGCTAAAAGATCCTTACGGTATCGCAATCAGTCCGATAGATGGCGCTGTTTACGTCTCGGATTGGGAAGGATACAGCATTCGTATTTATAACCAGTTTGGCATTTACACAAAGTCATTCGGTGGAAAAGGAAAGAAAGAAGGACAGTTTTTGTATCCTTCTGGCATCGCTTTTAATGGTGACGGTTTGTTATTTGTATCTGACAATTGTAACCACCGTGTCCAGGTATTTGATGTCTGTAACCAATTTCTCTACTCCTTTGGTTGCTATGGAAGTAACAACGGAGAATTCAATTGCCCTAAAGGATTAGCAATAGACGCGGAAGGACACATATATGTGAGTGACTATAACAGGATACAGAAATTCACCTCAAGTGGTCGCTTTTTATCTCGGGTTGATCGCGACAGTGATGGTATTAGTCTTCCAACATGCATTGCGGTTACTTCCGATGACCCGCAAAAAGTTCTTGTCGTTGACAGCAGCAACCATTGCATCAAAGTGTTTGTAGAATAGCCCGGATGTAAAACAAGAAAGCGCGAGGATTTGGGATCTCAAATTTAATTAACATCCGGAATTCGAAAGCATGTCGTCAATATAACCATTAAATAAAGGAAGGCAGTTACGACAGACATCATTGTTTCGTTCATACTTAATATTTAATTTAATTTATTGTTACGTTCGTCTCACACAGGGTATGGTAGGGTGCATTTTATTTTTGTTCAGTTGCTTGTATACATATTACACATATTATTTTACTGGATGTATATATTATTAACTTTTAGTTGCAAATAATACTTGACCAGAAATTATATCTGTGGTCTGTCTGGTCCCCAGGTCACCGTGGCAAAACATTAGTTTCACATCAGAACATTATACATATAAACAAATTATAATATAATTTACAGTTATGATGAAATTAATAAATGTATATATTATTAACTTTTTGTTGCAAATAATACTTGACCAGAAATTAAATCTGTGGTCTGTCTGGTCCCCAGGTCACCGTGGCAAAACATTAGTTTCACATCAGAACATTATACATATAAACAAATTATAATATAATTTACAGTTATGATGAAATTAATAAAATTCAAGTTACCGACCAATCATTAATTTGTTTTGTGTTTCTAATGAATTGTGACTAATTAATTAAATTTTTAGTTATTGCTGATCGTTGTATTTTCGTGCTTTTAGGTTATATGTTAAGAAATGAAGCCCGCCCCACACGTCCGACTTGTGTTTCTGTCAAACTCAACTATTGACCATGTGGCATTACAAATCAGAAAATTTGTCATAATTTAGAGATATATTGTCACGTGACGCACCAGACTACCAGTTATTGAATCTATAAAGGTAGAAACTCACTGTTCATAACTATAGACAGTAGTGGCCGCATTTTTTGTTTCACTTTACCAAATACAACTTAATTGAAAAACAAATGCACCACTTTCGAGTAGTATTATAAGATCTTGGTGGTTCAGAAAAAAATGTTCACAAAGAAGTGAAATCAAAAACATAAATAACTAAACTAAATAAAAAAAAAAAACAACTGCGGGAATTAAAAAAACAGCCTGAGTGCCCATTTAAAGTAAAACCCCTGGACCACAGTTTCCAGGCGGGTTATGTGACTCAGAACACGTACATCTTTCCTGCGGCGCCCGCCACATTTCCTAAAATAATAGGGTCGATCGCGTAAGGCAATGTTCCTTACTGGTGCGTCCAAAGTGAAACAATCATAGAAGGGCCAACATCACGGTTTTGTATAGTTAATTTCCCGACCATAAGCGTGGCTGTTACACGACTACTATTTATACCACGATTCATAACACGACGAAAACTTGAAATAAATGTACGCACTGCTTCGTATGTTGTATAATGCAAAAAAACTATTCAGTGCATTATGGAGCATATCATTTGAAGACGAATCAAACGAATCCTTCATAGAATAGAGGGTTATATGTAATAGAAGCAATGTGATGTAACTAGCAATCTGAATACGGAAGTCATGGTTCGAACGCGCCCTGGTCAACACTTACGTTAGTTCATTCTCTTTCATCTCCAAACTTTCAAACATTGACGCCTGGCCAAGCCGAAATACACGAAGATTTAGTAAATCGTTATTACGAAGGTTCTGGCGTAATTATGGATGTATATGTTGAAACTGTGTTTATTACTAATATGCATATGTCGTGTTCGTCGTACTTTCATTAGTATGAGGTCATACAATCAGAATACCGAAAATGTAAAAAAAAAATATGGTATATTGTTATTGATATGATAGTATCGTTAAAATGTTATGCCTTGTTATCCCGTGTTAAGCTGGCGTGTTTTAATCGGGGGGGGGGGGTTACTCACATATTTAAAGTATACATGTATGCGCCGATTTTCACGGTCGAGTCAATTTTTAGGCAAAAAACGCTCAGATGCGCCCTCAACGTCGAAATATGTCGTAACATGTTCGGTAGTGAAAACTTTGAATTCTTATCATCCTTACATCCAGATTTGCTAGAAAGTACCAAAACAAAAATGGTAGTAAGAATTTTGATAAGAAGTAAGAACATTAAGAATTCTCTAGAATCCGAATGCCATGACTACTGGTAGCAATTCAGTCTTGGACAGTGTCAACCCCGGATCCACCCTCGTTAAGTAATTTAAACGAGCTTGTGGACATGTAAAGTTTAAAAACGATGTTTCGATTTTCACTGTGTTTATTTTACATTGGAATTAGTATTTGTATCAAGGTACGCAGTGTCCCTATTTTGATAGCATAACTTATATTTCAAACTATTTAGGGGTCATGTACATGAATGAGTTTTTTAACATGTTTAAACCATTTTGTCTGATGTCACATCTTGATGAAAACAGTAGGATACGATTTATCACATAATAAAAACGTTGTTTTGCTCAAACATAGCAGTATTCGTTCGATAGTTAAATGAAAATACCACTGCGCATGCGCTTTAAATTACCTATACGTACATGTACAGGTAAATGGCCATAAATACAGGACGCATTAGCGTTTTCATTGGTTCAAATAACGAATACGTTTGTTTCCCAAACATCTCTATAATTTTAATGATACTCTACAGGTTTTATCAGAAAACTAACTTGTATAATTATCAGTGGAATATTAGCGCATACAACCATAGACCCTCCAATAGATACAACCCGGTTTTATTTTAAATGGCGGACTGGCACATTTAAAGGGATTACTCAGCTGTGTGTCGTTGTGACGTCACAGGACGCGCTGTCTCAGCACTCCTTGCGCGATATGCGTTGGATCAGCTTGGAGAGGGAGCCAATCTGCAGTGTCAATGAGCTGGGTGTATTTATGCAATATTCACTGTTTACTGTTTTCCACAACTAGACCAACCCGCACTTTTTATTTTTATTTAAAAAAAGATAGAGTTGCTTAATCGTAGGCTTTATGTGTTTGCAAGAGTTTACATTGTCATTTATCGCGTTTATCGCGAGTTTACTCTAACAATGAGTCTAGAATCGTAACGCGAACTTAGAAAATACCCCTGGATACTTGATAGAAATGTCGATGGAAAATCAGGAAACAAATAATGATAATAAACAGTACTGATCGATCGATTTATTTGGATTTTCACCCCTCAAGTGATTGTGCCTTTCGGGTATAGTGATAGTGAGAATTCTGTCATAAAGAAATAAATGTTGACTAAAATTAAGCGACAAAGCACAACACTTAACTGACATACACTTTTAGTGTAATAAATGGGTACACCCACTCATTGAATAGTATGTGTTGAAGAGATATTTTTCTTGAGATTAATACAATACCTAAAGCTGACTATACAATGAATCCTCAAAAAATGTTATCGCTTTATAACAGTTTCAGAATTACCCGTATTTACTATTTAGATAGTTGTAATCGTGTTATCCAGTTTAGACTTTAGCTCTTCCCTCCCCCGCATTAGACGTTCATTGGTTCGACCCAGATCCGAACTCATTACGTATTCAATATGGCGCGAATGTTGTGATCGCTAACCTTTTGTGTTCGCCCTGAACACGGCTGTGATCACCGGACAAATTCCGGATAAGCTCCAAGCTACCCGTGTACACGAGCTGTGCGAGCTATGGTGGATCGACTGAGGACCATATTACAAGCAGATCATAGTTTTCACGGCGCCGATTTTATTTTATTACGACAGAACCGTACTGGCGAAAATGCCCCTGACGCTGGAACGTCGAAGGTATGTATCCCATATCGCTCTAGGCATGTATGTGGCAATAGCTTTTGTAAGATTTAAATAGGACCATGTTTACTCTTCCGGGCGATCAAGCCCATACCCTTATGTTTATGCACTTTCCTGTATATGTCTACCGTTATATAGAAGACCTATCAGCCCCCCGTGGAGCGCCGGCACGTTGCGACCACTGACTGATCAACCTGTTCCATAGAAAGTTCATCCGAGTCAATGATAAATAAAAGTTTGTTTCAGGAGGATAAACCGACTGAACGACACACTTGTTATAGTAGTATATTCGCACATGTACGTCCATGGTTATCGATATATTTTGAATTAAAGTTTTTTTCATTCATTGATTTTATTTCGATTTGATCGTGAGTGAGTCACCCATTCCACCAATCAGCTGTGGATAGGCTGTACGATGACTATACACTTTCTTATATTATTTCCGTTCACCTATAAATCACCGGTATTTAAATCAATAATGAGAAGTAACGGGCATCCCGGAACATATGACACCTAATAAAATAGATCATTTAATATAAACGTGCTACTGTATTAGTTTCATGTCCTTTTTTTCGCTTATTTTGGTATCGCCTGGATCTCTCACGTGAGTTCACCTGATTTGCGTTTCTCAGTAAACAGGAAGCAAAAGCCCCTCCCCTAATTTAATAATGTAACTTTTCCAAAAAAACACAAAAGATCAGGAACAGTTGCAAAAAATTGGTTAGTGAATTCGGCCGTGCTGGTTCCTCGCCCTGCATAGTAATTTGCTGTAAATATAGAAAGCTTATGGTTTTATCCAGTTGAGTGGTATCCATTGTACAATTGCATGGTTGAAAGAATGTCATTATTTCGTTTTCAAATTGTTGAGTTATACTGGTATGGCATTCTCAGTCAATTCTCAGTATGAAAATACTTTACTTCAAACTTTCTACAAATCCTATAATGGCATACTGATATTATTTTCTCTGGTTTGATTATTGTAACAGTTAGCAACAGTTCCATAAATCGTTATATTTTCCACAATATTAATTAACTTGTGGTTTGTTTTCCATTGCCTTTGCTGGAATAGATGGAAAATGAAAAAAATGTCTGTCATTATGGTCATTGTCGTCGTTGTTAACATTACTTTTTTGATTACAAACAATCCTGCCAGATTTGGGTGCACTACAAAATCATGATTTCATGGTATTGAGAAAAAATTTACATAATGATTCCATTCTTGGGGCAATCCTAAATTTTCATTTAGATAAGCTCCACACTTCATGTTTACTTGATGTTTAAAATTAACTTTTCTTAGAATAATTAGTTTTAAACTACCGGTACTGTTTGTTATTGGTGGCAATAGTGACACAATCTTAATGTAAGTTGCCATGACAACTAGCAGGGCTAGTGAAAGCCTAGCCATTGATGACTGATATAAAATTATATTTTCATGAAAAATATATAAAAATATTAACAACACACATTTATTGATTTAGAAAATCAAATATAATTTCTTTTTTTCATGATGATCATTTTAAAATTTCACAATTCTCAAAAAAATTATTTTGAGTCTAAGATTCTGTAATCTGTTAGAAAAAATAATCCTTTTTTAAATTTGACAAGTATTCACTATGTCAGTTTCAGATGTGAAATCTAACTATACTCTCTTGTCATCAAAGCTTTGTACATTGTTGAATTGCATTGATTTTGTTCTTCTATTAGAAATGACCTAAATATAAAATGGTGTGTGAAAAAAATCACAATCAAACAACATGTACAGACAAGATTGATGCATTGTTTTTCATATGAACTTAGTATTCTCAAAAGTTTTTCACAACTACAACACAAATCTGTGACTGTATCATTTTTGTGCTTGCTTTTATGATCGTCCATATCAAATTACCTCATGAATATTTGATGGGTGATGTAATGTATTATGACACTATTCACTCAACTCAAAGAAGAGGTGTGACCAATCAGATTCACCTTCTATTTTTTGCAATGGAAAAGATGATATATCTTAGAGGATTCTTGCTATAAGAGTACATGTATCTTACAAATATTGATCTGATAGTGATGAACGTGTTAAACTTGACACTGGCCCCAATAAATCGTTTGTTCTTTTATGTATTGTACATTTCTATTCACATTGTTATACCATTTTCAGGCTATTTGTCGAGTGAATGTATACTTTTGTAAACCTTTACTGCTTGGTTCATTGTGTGTCTGTGTGGTAGCGGTGTAGTGTTGAAAACACGGGTTTAGATCACCGACAATGATCATAATCCGATCTGAGTTTATTGTAACTAAATGTATATACATGTAAGTAAATAATTGTGTGATTAGAGAAAGCTGCAAAACTTACCAATCCAACTATTTTCGTAGGTGTTATTTTGGATTTAGTCTTTTGGACTCAGACTCATTTCCGCTTCACAAATTGCAATAAAAGCTAAGACTAAATCATTTTATCAACTTGTCAGATAAGTCCTACAGCGATTAAGACGATTTATGTTGGATACATTTGTGTAGTCCTATATATATACTATTTTATGTTCCCATAAATTGGCATTGTAGGAAGAATCTTATCAGTAATTTGGTAAAATAATATCTCAATTAGTACCACATGTTTTTTTGGTGGCTGTGAATAAATGTTTGACTTGACCTCAGAAGAAAATATTGACATACCAAATTTACTGTAATAGAAGCGCATCTTGAATAAAAGCGCCTAAAAACGAAAAAATACAATTTGTTTTATACAAATGTACTAAATCATTAATATATTACTTATTTTGACCATAAAAACACTTCAGTAATTTGCATAAATGCATGCATGTTACAAATAGAGCAAATATTATATACATATTATTTTTTCTACTTACGAAGAGCTATAGATTTACATACATGTACACATGTTAAAAACCCAACCGCTGAGACTTTCGACATATGTTACATTACATCGTAGTAATCTTTGAACAAGCATCTCTTAAAATCAGAATTATGTATATTTTGCCCATACTTGTGTTCGCCACTCGTACACCCACATCACGGTATTCAAAAATACATGAAGGTGGGTCTCTGAGCTGAGGGTTAATGAAGTTTATTTAATCCATTCAGATAGCCTGACTAATCATAATCTCTCCAGTATTAGATTACAGCTAGTAGCAATGGAGTAATGTTTAATGATTTGTGCAGTATGGTTCTTGCTGGGAATGTTTAGATAAAAGCTTCTGTAAGTTCAGCAAGCGCTCAACCATTTCATCGATTGTTAACAGTTTTGTTGTCGTCTGGTTAAATTCTCTGCGAATTCTTTGCCAATTTAGATGTTTTTGTGTTGGTCAATTTGTCTCACAAAGTGAAACCATACATTTATTTCTTGTATATGATGATGAAAGATTTGTTTTACTGAAAGAGTAAATTCAATTCATGTGTTAATTTGTATCACCTGTTTACTGCTGTCTGGAGAATGCTGTATAATAGTCATTATGGCATGTCTGGCGTAAAAAAGATTTATTGATCGTATGGTATTGAATGCATGTGTAGGTTGTGCATGCAACAGCTGAGGAATCATGACGGCATTCCCCTCCCCGGTAATTTCAATCAATATTGTTATTGTCTAAAAATAGAATTGATACAATCATATAACATTGTTCAGTTCGAAAAACTGATCAAATACGAATTTACGAACACAGGTGATAAAATTGTTTGAATCTTAACTGCGTTGATTTGTTGAAAAATCATAAGAAAGTTTACCAGCCAAACAAATTCTTTGCCATTAATTCAGCATCACAAAATATATTTTAGTTCTTATTGATTTGTTTATTTGTTTGTATAGAACAAACATCTTCATCAATAATTTATCATATTACCTAATGCTTATTTATTTTATTTGGGGAGGTGATCATTTTACAAATAAATGTAATGTCAATGTCATGTATTCTTGAGGTATTTTGTTCAATACTTTATAATTGGTTACTATAGTAACCATCTTTATGAGGAGATAAAAATGAGATAATTCAAATATGATAATGTTTAATCCTCTTCATAGTCTGAGTTTTCTCACGTTGGGTCTGTTAGGCAAATGTTTGAATTTTTCTCTAAATTTTGGTTGTTTCAGATTACTTTTAGACCAAATTTGATATTTTGAGAAGATTACGTTCAGGCATTATGAATATGTCTGGAATGGCTGCAGATTTTTTTTATAAAGTCTAAGTTAATACATGTACATGTATGTAGGGTGCATTGGCCTATTTGTTGTACTGAGTATGCTGGAGCTCGTTAGTAGATTATAGCTTTAATTACTATTGATTAATTTTCATATTTAGATATTTTTACGCAGTACAGCTGTAACATGGCTTTGTTCAGAAGTCTTAATTTAGTTTTATCAAATTTTTAAGGTGTCAGCTGGTATGTCGTTATGACATTGGTGACAGAATGTAATTTATCTGTCAGATAAAGTTATTTTGATACTAACATGCTCTATATCTCATTGTTGCTAGATATTTACATGATTTCGTATTTTGTTTGCGACTGTAGAGGTTGTCAAAAATATTTGCCAGTTTTACTGTTGTTACGTTTCTAATAGTGAAGAGAGATTTCATAGCCTGTCATTTGTGAGCTTGTTTGCCTGTTTCAAAAGTAAAATACTGTATTTGCTCTATTAATAAAAATGCATTTAAACCTAAAATCATTTTTATTGTATTCTGAAATATTACTTATTTTTTGATCGTAGAAACACCTCAAAGTCAATTTGTTGTAACTCGGCTTTCGTCATTTATACACTCCCATAACATTTTATTTTATTGAGAAAACAACAACAAATAGACAAGAGATTGCATGCAAGTTGTACGTATATTAGAATATATTATCAATTTTCTCAAGCTTCATTTCAAGATTATAAGTGAAAAACATGTTTTTAAAAATTTGTTGTACATTTCGTTAATATTAAAATGTAACCAACGTGGCCACCGATAATACAGAATCAACATGATGAGAACAAAACTGAAGCATATTTATGC